TTTACAGAAAAAGAAGTAGGAGATCGTACAAGAGCTAAATTTGAGCTTAAAAAAGCAATTAAAGTTGGTGGTGAATGTATTGTGAGTGAGCAATCCGAGATCGAAGAGCTGGGCAGATTCGATGCCAAAGGTTCGTTCTTACCATCAATCTATTCTCCAAATGTCCCTTGGGCAGCGTTCAGACCTCGCGATGACGCGCGTCGATGCGCTACCATTGCGAAAGCGGTCGAGTGCTGTTGACAGGAATGCGGCCACAGACTGGTATAGATTGGCGCCGGCCACTACTGCTTGAACGGTTGTGGGAGGGGAGGGTACGCGCGGCCTTAGCACCACGTCTGGTATTGATGGAGCACCGGCCGCTATTGAAGATTCTAGAATAACAGTAGGGTGCCAGACTGTGATTATGCAGCGCGTGCTCCCTGTTCTCCCATACTCTGTCAAACATTAGCGGCCGGCGCCGGTCCATACGGCGTCGAAGGTTGCGCTTCCATCTGTAGCATTGGAGGGCTGTTGCAATGGCGCGTAGCGCGTCGGCGCGAATCTGAACGCTGCCTTATGGTACCAACTTCGAGTACATTTAGTTTTAGTTGATATCTAGGTTCTGGAGAGGGCGTGTCCACGGAGTCAGCTGTGGCGGTTTGCGTTAACATGGAATGTTGCCGTATTTGGGCGGTGTCGTAGACTGGGTATAAGAGACCGCATTAAAATTTGCCGCACCTGGTTTTGAGGCCGCCATTACTACCAACGTGATCTATACAGGGGGGGGGCAAAAAAAGTCACTTCGGCCGAGTCACATATCAGCAAAGTTTTCGCAGCCCAGACAGAGGACGTGGATACGAGTACCAGGGCGGAAGATACCCAAGATGTTCCTCGATAAGCAGGAGCAGGCTCATCACCTTCATGTACACCAAAATATGAAGTCATCTCCAATCGCAGCCTGACTGGAGAAGGCCTTGGAATTCACGTCACCTCCAAACAGCTGCGAAACTTCTTGTATGGAGTCACCCATGGACAGCTACCTGGAGACCAGCACTCTTGATCTGGAAGACCTCCAACATCGAGCAGCTCCGACAACGTCGCTACGGTCCAGGATATCATCTTCACCGCAGTCGCCAAGGCGCGAGTTGGTGGTATGGACCGGAAATTCTGGAATGGGAAGGCCGATATTTTCTTCGTGGACCCCTGACTGAAAGTGAACGCTGACGGTTACATCGAGCAACTCGAGAAGAATATCCTCCCCACATGTCGTTCTTGGAAACTTTGTACTGCTACAGCATTGGGTGCCACCACATGGAATCGGAGGGCGTTTGGAAAAACTCTTCGCCTACTGAATGGAAAGGCGTTGAAGTTCCTGAAGGAGATGGAATATCTAAGCGGGTCAGCTGACCCGAACCCCCTCAATTACCTGGTGCAGGCGGAGTTCAATAGGTGGTCTACAGTGGCGGAGAAATCAACGATCTCGCTGAACTCAGGCACCGAACCATGGTTGCGTGGCAGAATCTCTCGATGGCGGTGGTCCAGAAGGCTGTGGCGGAGCAGATTATATGATCCACCCATATATATATATATAATTCGCTTTGTCTGTTTTTTGTTTGTTTGTGAGTTTGTAAGTTTGTAAGTTTGTCTGTCCGGAAATTCGGTTCGACCTGAAGAACGACTTGGAGAGGTCCAGTCAAGGTGGGGATAGGTAGGGCATGGGACAAGAAATAAAAGCACACTTGACTATGGCAAGCCCCGCAGCCAAAGTTTGGGGTTCCGCAGAAAAATGTTCATAATTCGCTTCCGGAGCAGCTCAAAGATGGGGAAAAAGGGACTAAGGTTAGTAAGGAGTCGCCAGACTAACTGTGGCAGGTACACCCTAAATGGGCGGGCGTACTCAAGGTGGGCGGTGCTTCTCGCAAAATTCAGTAACCCGGTTCGCGAGTGTTGTTGGAAAAGTCCGCAAAAAACTCAGTGTAGAATGTAAAATATCCGGCGAATATAGGGCACGCTCAAAGTGTGTTGAGACCCCCCACAGTGGGCGGAGCTTGCCCTAAATCGCAGGGTATTCATTTTAAAAAGTTTGTAGCCTCGTTCCAGAACACTCCAGATAGGAAAAAAGTGGATTAAGTTCAGCAGAGGGTCGTCGATTAAGGTTATGGGGCAAAAAATTCAGTTTCAAGGCAAGGGGTCGCGGTGAGGATTGTGGGGCACAAACATTGTGGGCGGGGCCTGCTCCGAGGTGGGCGGAGTCAGACGAAGAATCTGTAAAATAGCTCAAGAGTACTTCAGACACCGGAAAAAGTGGAGTACAGAACAAAAGGCGGATATCAGTTGAGTCTAGAAATATGTGAAAGAAAATACGCGCGGCGAAGCCGCGCTCGCCCGGCGCAGCCGGGCCGTATCAGAAGGAGGCGCGCCGGCGTTAGCCGGCGAGCTTGGGTATACAATATGCTGTTGAATACGGTCGTGGAAATACTCCACAAATTTAATTAAGTGTAACTTATAGCGCCCTGAAAGTCAAGAACTTTTGACTTTTGACTTCTTTTTGCTTCCCCTCCCCCCGCCCCTGTAGATGCGCTGCGGTTGCCTCTCTCGCACTAATTCCGTGTACACGCCCCTCCAACGCTGATATATAGGCGGTACCTTGGGTAGAGTGGTAATGTTTGTCTGCACGTGTATGTTTGTAATTTCTGCCACTACGATTATTTAGGCATTGTGCTGCTGTATTTCAAACCGATATCAGAAATAAACTTTGAGAACCATGTTCAACCTTCGAGATTTCTTTATCCAAACGAGAGTGTGAGTCTTTTTCTAACCCGGAATACGGGTTTTTCTCTAAATTTTTTCTACACTGTCAGGACAAGTACTATTTAAAGGCAGTGGGCACGATTGTCAGGGTTGGACGGTTGCTGCCAGCGTCACTGGTGGAAGGGGTGCGAGAGGGCGTTTGGCCACACCGTCGTCAGCCCTTCCACCAATGACGATGGCGACAACTGCCCGCCCCAGCCATCGTGCCCACTGCCTTCAAAGGCCCATCTCGCAATAATCGGATATTTGGCTTGCCGCATTCGGAAGGGCTCGCTTTCCATGCGGTAAAGAGCAGAAATGGCAAGCCAAATAGGGGGAGGAAGGCTCAGCGGTTTTGAGTCTCTGCCCTCCCGGTTAACATGGAATGTGGCTTTATGAAAGTCGTCTCCCGCATCAAAAAGTTCCTGTTACGTTATTTGATTAAAAGCCAAGAATTCAGCTTCTTTTTAGTCATCTAGGGATCGTGATGTTGACTATCGCGCTTGCTGAACATGTTGGCGAAAATGCGCATATCTGCACGGTTTTGCTCACGAGAACTAACCAAAAAAGTGCGATTGTAGCCTGTACCGCCAATGTCAGCACTAAGAACGAGGTTAGCGTTCCATACTGCATGACAGTGCGTTGTTTACTATGTTTAGTTTTAGGACCGTTTTGGTGGCGATACTGGCGTCTTATTTTTGTCAGATTCGTCTTAAGCGCCGCTAAATACGACTTAGACGGACTTCAGCGTTATCGTTTGAAGCAATAGCAGGATCGGCGATCGTCTAGCGGCCATAGTTTCGGCGCGTGCGAGCGCTATTTCTTGTACCACATCATCTGATCCTAAAGGCAGTTGGCACGATGGTTTCCCACTCGGCCTAAAATGCTAGTAGGCGCTATGTAGTGGGGAAATGGCGAAAGAACGGAGTGAAACGGTCAAAATCCGGCGAAGAAAGCCTCCGTTCTCAGTGATTTGAAAATCGATTTCGGACATTTCCCATAGCATCTTGCCAATAACCGCTACCGAAGATACGGCTGCATATGTGTACTCATATATCCATGCAGCATCACGGCCGCTTCATACCAATCCCTTCGCTTCATAATTTGCTTAGCAAATGAATGAATACGAGAGCGTCAGGAACGGTCGTCCATTTGTGGGCGGCGGGCGAGGATAAGGCGCTTTGGGACGCGAACTGTTTTTGCTTGATAGGCGGTATAGGGTTACCCTCCTCCGGGGAAGGTGCCACGGAGGCCTTTCGATCACGGAATTCTGTTAACTAGTGCTATAAAGCTCTGCCGTAATCCTGTTATAGCGATTTTATAGTGCCAACTGCCTTTAAACCTTTTGATGTTAATCGATTCTGAACCATTTCATTTCGTACGACTTGCCCGGAATTGGACTAGCATCTGCGAAGCCACTTGGAGGTTAGTGCGTGAAAGACTCCGATTACAATCAAAAGTTTAAATTTTCACTGTCAAATCAGTTGCGCGGGTTGAGGAGGGGGGGCGGCGGGTAGGGTAGAGATCGCACATGAAGGGTCAGTAAGTTCGTAGTGCCTTCTCCTTCCCTTTTCACCTTTATTTGACCATTTTAAACCGCCCTTAGGATATCCGTCGAGTGAGGACCCGGTGCACCAACATACCTTAGGGTGTGATGAGTAACTGCGATAAACACTCCATCGGATTAGGAGACATAAATAGATTACAGTTAAAACAGGAAAAACACCACAAACTTCAGAATCTCAATCCTCCGCAATTCTAAGGTACGGCAGTGCGAGAGCGTGCTGCGGATTTTGACAGGCTCTTTCCAGCACCTTTGACCCGACAGCGGACATAGATGGATAACGGGGGGCGGGGGTCATTGCGCGGCTGGCAGGTATACGTTGCAAAAAAAAAAATTCCACAGTGCGATGATTGCCTCTGACCGACTGCTTCATGATACTTACGTCGTGACACAATGAATAGTATTTCATCGCTTACATTCATTTGCCTTTTATGCCTATGTATCGTTGGAAGAGCCGTAAGGTAGCGCTTACAAAGCGTCGTGTATTGAACTATTAAATCTGTGATGTTCAGTACTTTGCTGTCGACTGTTACGTTATATTGTCAGGAAGATAATTGTTTACTGAGAATCAAGAAAGAAACCCACAGACGCCGCTGAATCACGCCCCGACTAGCTGTCATGGTAATGCATGTTAGATAAACCGGAGCATTTATAGCCGTCAGGTCGGGCAAACTTGTAGCATTGTAGTTTGGAACGTTTTGTTTGACACGAACCACTAGAGCAGTGGCTCCCCTGCTGTGAGCTGGACTTTTTTTGTTGTTGGAAAGTGCGCAGAAAGGAGGCTAGAGCGTAGTGAAAGGTAGATGTCATTTGGATCTCTACCCGGCGTCCAAAACGTGTGTGTGGATGCCGAGGGGCCGCAGTGAACATTAGCTGAAAGTTGCCTTATAACGCCCAGGTGTAGAGAGCATCCATGCTCGAAAAGGTGGAAACAAATAGTGCGATTAGCTTGGCTAGGCACAGGGTACAGCATCGTGATGTGTGAGGTGGTGGTGTAGGTACGACCTACCCTCCGAGAGAGGGTGTCAGTACGACCCCCCCCCACCTAAATGAGGGTCTCGGTACGACCCCCCCCCCCTTCCCCAACACCTACCTACCAATTTCCCCACATTTTCCAGTTTTTCACCCAAAAATTCTCAAAAATTTTGCTGTTGACCGTGGGGGGATATATAGTATATAGTGCACATGAAACAGGAAAAATCACGCAAAAAGTCAACAACCGGAAAACCAACGCGAGAAACGCTACCACTGACCTGAAGCCTCTCTTATCTACGAGTCACTTCCGAGTGATGAAGGCACACTTCGACAGCTGCATTCCTGCTCTCCTTGCACATGACAAAGTCCAGGATGCCTCGGCGTGAAAGTGGATCGTGTCTCCAAGATGTTGTCTTCTAAATTCTATGAAAATCAACTTTGAGAGGCACCCTGCTTTTAGAACCGGTCGGATACCATTCGCGAGTACAACTTTGACGGATTTCACGTGGTATTCCTTCCATTTGCTGAAGATATTCGTGACGTGTCTGAAAAGATGAAATGCCCTGAAGGAGACTGGCCAAAACGTGAGTTCTATGGAACTATAAGGTTTGAAAGAAAATCGTTGGCTACCTGGGGTGCGAAACTCATTCCTTCATAACTTAATACAACATTAGCGAATTACTCGATTATGGGGAGGTTATGAATGTCCTTTAATCAGAATGTGATGGGCTAGGACTTGGAGGACAATCCAAGGGGCAGTTCGGCGGACCGGGGGAGGGGGGGGGGGAATTTAGCACTTTTGCGACTTCCCATCGACGTGTCGACCCATCTAGACAGCCTCTTCTCGAGTTGACAGGTTTTACCATGATGGCTTGACGAGCTTGCTCCAGCTTCACAAGAGTTCACAGGTTTCACCAGAGTGAGACTTGTAAACGGAACTAGTGAAGCAACGAAAAGGCAAAATGCCGCCCCTCCCCCATCCCCCTCCTCCGATCAGCGCCCAAATCAATTTCCTTTTCGATGTTCTGAGAGATTATGGGAATTTTTCTTGTCATGGTGAAGTGGGGGTTAGGAGCCTAATGGTTGAAGAAAGCAAAATTTGGGAAAGTATTAAGGGGGAATTCGGGGGTGATAAGCGCGTGGTCTGCGTGTTATATTCAGAATCGTTCACCTGATTTCTGCACGATGCAGCGCAACGCTGCAGCGTGAGTCTGCTGACCAACTCCGGCTAGGCGCGCAGCTGTTGTCGTAAAAAAATATTGGTGTGAAGGGATTTGTTTTTATTTTCTTTGTTACCGACTGATGTGACCTATTCTATTTACAGCATCCGCCTCAGATGTTCGAACGGCGTCAGCGTTCGTCAAGAAATTAACTGGTTCCTACGTCCCGTCACAGTATGAAAACCCTAGTTGGTGTTTTTGGTTCTCTTGGTTTCTATTTTTTTTGCTTTTTTTTGAAGAACGAGAAGGAGGTTGGACTGTCGGGTAGGAGGTCCGTTTTCCACCGCTCGGCGAAAGACACATTACAAGTGGCATCATGGGCGTGACATGCCATGAGAGGCTAATTGACTCGAAAATGCTATAGTAAACCGAGTCAAATACGTGGAAAATGCACCGAGATACTTGCGATGCCCCAAGTCAGAATTCGAACTGGCTTTCTAAGGATCGACAAAGGGTTCGCTGAAAACATCTCTCACCGCATCGTACCTCAGGGAGGGCGTATTTAGTCGACGAGAGGGAGGCTGTCTTGTTCGTCTTTGAGAAAAATATGTGCTCGGTTGATTTTTTTTCTTTCTTTTCCTGTTACAGGTGCGCTGCGCTGGCGCTATAGGGCCCCTAATCCTCATTCCCTCCCTCCTTTCCCCTTTGGAGGAAGTTGGGTCGGGGAATTCCTCAGGAAAAAAGTATTATAGAAAGTTAGGGAGAATTCAGGGAGATTGGAGTAGGAATGATCGATAGGGAACGGATAGGGAAGGCTTGTAATACAGGAGACATTTTAGGGGTTGGCGCATTTTTCAAACAACGAGATACTCTGTCATCTCTATTCATCTGCTTGGTTTTTCTTGAGATTGATAGTTCAGCAACAATAAACCGTGATCCCGATTACTTCACACATGCTCTGTCAAGTCAACGCTAGTACTGATCTCTTTCAGAGACTAAATCTTTTTATGGCAATGAATTGTTGAGAAATGTTGTTGTGAGCCAAATTGTGAGCTCAACGGATACCCTGCTGATTTCATTCTCAGCTGGATTCTGGATTCCGACCTTTTTTTCTCTTATTCTTATTTCCCAACAATTTGGAGGCTTGGAATCTCGCTTTAGCAGTATACGGCACCGAGAAGTTAACACGAGGTGCATCGCTAGTTGAGCTACTATTGTATAAAAGGGGCGGCGCTTTATCGCACAGGGGGAGGCATTTGCTTTCATAAATGTGTCGTACCACCATCAGGTAGCGTTCTCTCGAGTTGACACGTTTTATGGTGGCTAGACGATCATGCTCCAGCTTTACAAGAGTTCACAAGTTTTACCAAAGCGAGATTTGCAAACCGACAAACGAGCAGCGGTATACAAAATGCTCCACTCTCCGTCGATAAACACGCATAGAGAGGGCGTAAAAACCGCCCTATAAGGCCTATTATTTCGAGTCAATCGTGACTACTGGGCGAGCATATGATGGTCAAGCTCCACGGCTGTATGCGAAAGGTGTTGATACACTGAAAAACTCGAGAGTGAGACGGAAAACGGCGGGCGGAAAGCAAACGGTATTATTTTGAAGACACAGTCAGTGGAGGGCTTACTGGGTACCTATAAACTTAACGCTCAAATTTCCTGTGGATTGCTTAGCTTCTATGCTACCCTGTTTTCGTTTGAAAAAAAAACAGAAATATAGTACACATCCCCTAGGATCGTGGGCCAACTCACCTTGTTCTACGGGAGGTCCTAGCCTTCGCTGTCGTGGATCGTACCTTCAAGACTTCCTCGTTTTCCACTTGATGCCCTCCACTGCGCATTTTTTCTATTCACGTTACCATTCGAAAGTGCTCAACTCATTCATCATTTCCATTTGGAAAAACTGGAAGAACTCTCGCAGCACAGCACAGGTCGAAAAAGGGCAAGAGGTGAGTTCCAAAAGTTTCTTTTGAATCGAAACTTCTGGACGAGAATAGTTTTTCTGTTTTTTTTTGTGCTAAAATTCACTTCTACATATTCTTATGCAGTTTTTGATTGTAAAATTCAGTTTGGCCTTTGGGCGAAAGGAGGTAACTGATGCCGCTATCGCACGTGTGATATGTAGACCAGAACTCGGTTTGGATTTTGCCTAGGCCAACCAAGTGCCATCCTCTTGAGAACGGCGGCATGCTAACGAAAGTCTGGGAGGACAAAAATAGTGAATTGAACATTGGACAGCTTTGGAACTCGTTGTATAGGCGAAATGCACGTTCAGAATTCACTGCTGTTACAAAATGGGAGTCATGATCGTTGCTTGTCCCAAGAACAAAATGACCAGCGTGTTCTATCCTCTTGTTTTTCATCTATTTTTTGTACTGAGTGTTTTTTCCGCTGTTTTTTGTAATTGATCACCTTCCATTGTTTGTTCGCAGATGGCTCATCAGACAGAGGACGAGCGAAGGTGGCGAAACCTGACTTATCTCAGATGGATGCTCGTGAACTTGGCAGAAAAGGGCCAGGTAATTTTTTTCTTCAATTCCATTTGTTAAAAGCTCAGTCCACGCTGATCGTTTGTGTGGAGTCTGGCCCATCTTACTATCCACAAACGGGAACGTCTGTCTGTCTGTCTTTCTATCAGTCAATCAGTCTGCCCGGAAATTCGTTATAACCTGAAGGGCCAGTGTGACGGGCCACGTCAAGGGTGGAATGGGTAGGGCAAGGGCCAATATGTACGGAATGCGCATGAGCTAAGCCAGCTTCCACCCACTGTGGGCGGGGCTTGCCCTTAGGCATGAGCTTTTATTTCAAAAACCCGTAATTCTGTTCTAGGAGAGCGCGGCATCCTAATTCTGTTCTAGGAGAGCGCGGAAAGCTCTAAAAGTGAGAAAAGATAGGCAGTCAGTTGGCGGACGAACTGAGGATGACACACCCATAATGCGGACGGGGCGGTCGCTATAGATGGGCTGCGATCGCGCTTGTACGTAATTCGTTTGGCCTCGTCCGTTCCTTTATTTTATTTTTATTAGAATAGAAGGGCATATCAGTGAGAGAAACGCAGTGATAGGTTGTCTCCGCCCAGTATCAGCGCAGGAGTGGCTGTTGCCTCTGAGTCACGGAGTACTGAAAGGGGTGGCTTTTTCTTGGTAATGTCACTAGTGGAGTAACAAATATCGATAATTTGCATGCACGCATCCCCCCCTACTTCCCCCCCCCCCCCCCCAAGAAAAAAAAGAAAACTTTCGTTGTTGACCCGTTGAGCAGAGAGGCGGATAGTTGGCATCGGTTGGGTATTAGGCTTTGATAAACAGAAAAAACTAACCCTACCAAAAAAGGAAATAGTCGTCTTGAACTGCAAACATTTTCAAACGCTGATACGACCCAATGCCCTCCTTCCAGCAACCGAATACGACCCCCCTGTTGCGGACCTCCAACTATGACGTGTCGCGGTTCTGCCGGATGGGACTTGCCGAGGGTTTGTTACTTAAAATTAAGATTTTTCAGCTGGACAGCCTTACAGTAGCTCAACTTCGTGCGGCGATTGGAGAACATCTGGCATGTACCGTGAAGAGTGGCACAAAGAAGGCCGAACTGGTGGCGATGCTGAAGAAATATTTCGGTGTCTAGGCATTTAGCTTTACTGCTTTACATTGCTTTACATTTTTGACATCATTCCCTACCTCATCTACTTGTATACATGTTGTGGTATTTTTTGAAATTCTTTTAAAACCCGTGAGAATTTTGTTGTCAAGGGAGCATTTGTCCTCTAAAACAGGAGATCTCGGTAGTATTGTCGCGTTTTTCGAGGTTTCTAGGTAGAATAATTAATGGACAGGCGCTTATGGGCTTGAGGGAGGGCTGGGAAGGGGCTTTAGCACTTTCACTAGTTCTTGTTTACTAACAAAAACAAGTCTCATTTTAGTGACACCTGTGAACTCTTGTGAAACTGCAGGTGAGAGCAAGTGAATCGCTTTGTTCAATCAAGCGAAATCACAGCGTTTCTACAAGATAGCTCTGCTACAAGCTTCGCCTTGCTTTGGCCCCCCCCCCCCTTCCCCCTGTCCCACCTCCGAGCCGGATTGCTGGCCTATTCTTTAGCCCTCTATTTAGCCTGCTCAGGAGCTGCACCATGTAAAACCTTGAGGAGCGCAACAATACAAACTAGATAGGGCTGCTTTCTAACGTATTCATTACGGTCATAAATAAACATTCAAATGGCAAACATTAAGCAAAGTAAAAACTGTTCAACACAAAGGCGGCCAACGAAACGTTGATCTGCTCTTTGAAATAAGCTACGATGCGTATTTGGCCTATACAATGACGTGTGGGGATAGCCGATGTACAAGTGGGTGTTTTTGTCCTCCCAGACAAGTGTGGTATCTCACAGTCGATTCCCAAGCAGGACTTACCATGTTTAAAGACAACCGGTTCGTACTTTAGCCGCCCAGACGAGGGACGGGGTCTGCTGCAAGTCTATGGCAAAAAAATGTTTCTTTTCCTGACTGACCACGGAACGACGGTTGAACCCGCATCTTCTGCTTTCCGTGCAGCTGCGTTCCCTATTACGCTACCGAGGCCACTTTTGACCACTCAGCTCAATGGCTATTTGTGCCATTGCCTATGGCACAAATAGCCATTGAGCTGAGTGGTCAAAAGTGGCCTCGGTAGCGTAATAGGGAACGCAGCTGCACGGAAAGCAGAAGATGCGGGTTCGAATCCCGTCCGTGGTCCGACTTTTGCCCATAACTCAGCATTCTTGTGATAGCTTTCGGATCGCGCACTGCGGCGTTAGACAGCAGTTACTGAACAATAATAGCTTG